GCACAGGAACGGAGTTCCAGCTGGCTTCAGAGTTGGCCACACCCACTACAGCCAAAACCTCTGCGTGCCTGGCTACAGAGGGAAGGCCTGGAGAGCGACCCCCCCCCCCGTGACTCCAAGGCGGGATGGCCAGGGGGGCCTGGAAGGATCGGGGAGGAATTTAAATGCCTCCCCGTGCCTTCCCCGGCCTGTCCAAGGGCTGGCTTGCCTGGGCTCCCAGCAGCTGCGGGGCACCCCGGCAAGCCAAGGGAAGGCATGGGGTGTGACCTAATATACTAATGAGCTGTACTGTCAGGGTGTGGCCTCATATGCTAATGAGTTTCTGCTGTTGGGTGTAGCCTATTATGCTAATGAGTTCCCGCTGGGCTTTTTCTACAAAAAAAGCCCTGCCCAAAGCTAAATGTCTTGTACTTTCTTCAGATGCTTACGTCAGCTAATCTTTATGTTTAGATGGTTGATAACCCTGCAATCAGGACATGGATCCTTGTTTTTCTTTTCTTTCCGTTGACTACTGTTTTTTTTGCTCAGCCTCAGAAAATGAGAACCACCTTGATAGCTCATTGGTGAAGGAGGCCCTGGAACGGGCAAAGCAACTAGTCTCTTTGGCTTACTACCACTCTAGAAACAGGTACCAGCCTCCTGAGATAGAAGCAACTGTGACCTAGTTCCTCACCCATGCCCCTGCCTAAGAATTCCAGAGGAGTAGCTGTGTCGGTGTGATACAGCAAGGCCCCTTAAAATGCATTCCAGAAAGTCAGAGCTGGCTTCATTTCTTTCCAGTGCAAAGGGAACTCTGACTGATGAAAGCTGATGCTGGAATACATTTTGTTAGTCTCGAAGTGGCCACTGGACTCCCATGCCCTTGTTTGGTCATACAATCTGCTCACCCGCCCATTCCATTGACCTATGCCCCAGGCCTTGGTGGAGTTTTCAGCCACCTCTGCTCAACCTTTGATTTTATAATCGCAGAGGGAAAGCAGCACTGGCCAAAGGATCGCTGAGTGCCAATGACCTGCTGAGCCTGTTCAAGCACCCAGAGGCTGAGACCCATGTGGCCGTTCAGGCAGCTGAGTTGATGGACACAGCAGTGGAGCTCATTCGGCAGCTTGTTTACACTCAGGAGAAGCGGAACCGCAACGTGACAGGTGTGTGCTCCATTCTTTCCCTGACAATGCCCCGAGCACCTACTCATGGCCCTCCGGAGTAGCTCCTTTCTTCTTCTTTTCCTGCAAGGGATCCTAAGTGGCCATGGTCTCTCCAGCTTGGCAAAAGTGACTGGCTGTGCTGCCCAGCTCAGGCTCATCAAGTGCTCAGACTCCTGTTTAGCCGATAAGTACAGATCCATAGATGGAACCTGCAACAACAGGTAACTCTACAAGTTGGACTGTAACTAGCAAAAAGACACTGGTCAAATTATTACCATGGAGAAAAACCCATCCATGTTGAACAGTGCCACCACTGCAACCAATCTAGTAAATATGGCGGCGCTGGGACTCTCCCAATATGTAACGACGCCCACTCACCAGACTGGGCACACGCTCGACTTGATTTTCGCGGCGGGGGTAACAGTGGACCGGGTTACGGCTTCGGCAGTTCCATGGTCAGACCACCATGCCCTAGGGGCCCACCTGAATGTACTACCCCAACCCTGTTTAGGCGGTGAGTGAATTTAGCTCGCCCGCGGAACCAGGTGGACCCTGTGCAGTTCCAGATGGCCCTGTGGGATCCGATGCCCCCTGGTGGCTTGCTAGATGAGCTTGTGGAGGACTAGAATAGCCGGCTCTCTGCAGCCATCAACGAGATCACTCCACGGTGCCCTCTATGCCCCCAAACTAGGCTGGCTCCTTGGTATACCCAGGAGTTACAGCTGATAAAGCAGGAGGTCAGACGGCTAGAGAGACGGTGGCGCCGAACTCAAGACAAAGCAACAAGAACATCTTATAGGACATTTATGAAAGCCTATGAGATGGCAGTCAAAGCCGCAAAGAAGGCTTTCTATGCGACGGAGATTGCATCCCCTAGCTCTTGCCCAGCCCAATTGTTTAGGACGATTCGGTCACTAACAGCTCTGCCACAGGGCAGACCAAAAGCTGTGAGGCTTTTGCGAGCTATTTTGCAGATAAAGTCTTGGCGCTCCGCCACGATCTCCCCGCCACACTTGAAACAGTGAGTGAGCTTGAGGCCCATTGCATGTCTTCAATTTCGATCTTGGATCGCTTCAGCCCTCTCAGCCTGGAGGAAGTCAGTTTACTCGCAGCTGTGCACCCAACCTCATGCAGCCTTGATCCGTGCCCTTCCTGGCTTATTAAAGCTGGCCATGAGGGGTTTTGAGGTGTTCTAAGGGAGATTATCAACGTCCCTCTTAGAGGGACAGTTCCCTGGGGCACTCAAGGAAGCAATGGTCCGCCCTCTCTTGAAAAAACCATCTTTAGACCCGGCTGAATTGGCCAACTATCGGCCGGTCTCCAATTTGCCCTATTTGGGCAAATTGATTGAGAGGGCAGTGGCGGTACAGCTGCAGGGTTTTCTGGATGACGCTTCCGTGTTCGATCCCTTCCAGTCCAGCTTCCGTCTGGGTCATGGGATGGAGACAGTGCTGGTTGCTCTGACTGATGACCTCTGGAGACATCTGGATCGAGGTGGAACAGCGGTATTGCTGTTGTTAGATCTGTCAGCCACGTTTGACACAGTTGACCATCAGCTATTAGCCCACCGCCTCGCCGACATGGGGATTCGGGGGCTCTCCTTGCAGTGGCTTGCTTCCTTTCTCCAGGGTCGGGGACAAAGGGTGGCGCTAGGGGAACAGCGGTCCAGGAGGCACCCACTTGAGTGTGGTGTGCCTCAGTGGGCTGTACTGTCCCCAATGCTATTTAAAATCTATATGCGCCCCCTTGCCCAGAGGTATGGGCTGGGATGTCACCAGTACGCTGATGACACCCAGCTCTATCTGATGTTAGGCGTCCGGTCAGACTCCGGACCACAAGACCTGGACCACGCATTGCCTTACCATGGAGGCCCAGGTAGTGGCCACTGCCAAGTCGGCCTTTTATCATCTCAGGCTGATTAGGCAGTTGGCTCTTCGCAGCAGGTCTCTTCCCCACCACCGTTGGCTCGTCCCCCTCGCTGGATGAGGAGGTGCCGGAGGACAGAAATTCAGCCGCTTGCAATGCATGAGGAGGCTGCTTCTGCTTCCCATGCCCTTTCCCCATTTGCCTCGGGGGCTTGCTCCATCACTTCTATTCCTGGTGCAATTTGCAGCAAAGTGTCCCGGCCCCCCACATTTTAGGCAGAGCCCTTTCTTCAGTCGGTGCTCCCGGTCCCCTCCCTTGGGGTTCCCCAGGTTTCGCCCCTCTGTTCCGCTCTGTGCAGCAGCCCCTCGATTTGTGGTTTTCTGATGGTACAACTTCACCAAGTTGAACCAGTTCTCAGCTTTGCACGCTACCTGGATCCACTCGGCTAACATGAGCAGGTTGTCTTGTGCCAACGCCTTCTCTAGAATGACCACATTCAGTCCCGCTCTGTAGAACTCGATGAGGCCTTCTTCCGGCCAGCCCAACAACTTTGCGGCCGTTGTTTTTAACTCATCTGAATACTCTTGCACCGACCTGGTCCCTTGGGGAATTCCCTGCAAATTCCACTCGTCGTCTCATAGTCTTTTATAGAAAAGCTTTATTCAAACTAAGAGTAGTGATACACAGAGAGATTCTTTGTTCAGACTGGTTAGAACATCTAAGATTACAACTTGTATAGATAAAACAACAGGACAAACTCCCATGATCCTCTTCATGCATTGCCTTGCACCAACTGGTCTTTTTGAAGTGCAGAGGAAAGGTCCTTCCCCCCCCCCCATTCCCATGAGAAAGTTAACACCAGCCAACCGCTCTATACACACGCACATTTCCCCCCCTTTTCATCTTTCCTTCCCTGGGTTAATGGCAGATTGGGCTGAAGGATCAAACAGGCATTTGGCAAAGTCATTCAACTGGTCTTTTTGAAGTGCAGAGGAAAGGTCCTTCCCCCCCCCCATTCCCATGAGAAAGTTAACACCAGCCAACCGCTCTATACACACGCACATTTCCCCCCCTTTTCATCTTTCCTTCCCTGGGTTAATGGCAGATTGGGCTGAAGGATCAAACAGGCATTTGGCAAAGTCATTTACATAGCAGGACGGTGCCCGACTCTGACAACGATCTTTGTAGTCTGGAAAGCAGTTGTCATTCCCAGAGAATTCCAGCTCCCAGTTGGAGACTGGCCATTCTACTTTCCCGTGGTACAGTCCAGCAACGGTTTTACCCAGGGGTCATTTTGTAGAAAAAGAGGTGCAGGAGCTCATTAGCATAACTTATTTGCCAATGCCACACCCCCTGACATCACCAGAAGTGTGTCAGAAGGCAACACCCACCGCTCAGGCTCTACTGGACTGTTTTGGATTGCTGGCTATTGGGGGGGGATGTGCAGATCTGTCCTCGCAGAGGAGGGAGAGCTTGCGCCTGAATAAAACTTGGTCTTAAAGGTGCCACTGGACTGTTTTGGACCGGGGGGGGGGCAGGGGGAGCTCTGGAACGTACCTGCCTACTTCTTGCTCTGACTGAGGGCTGCTGGGAGTGGGGGGTGGGGCTTGTTGCATGTGCCCACCCCCTGGGCTCTTTACTGCCGGAACTCCGCTCCTGTGTGCTCCTGCAGGAAATGACCCCTGGTTTTGCCACATCTTCATCTATTTATGCAAATTAAATTGCCATCTTCCCATTTTCTGTGGACAATGACATTATATTCTCCCCTCTCCCTTGAAGGAAGAACCCTCTTTGGGGAGCAGCAAACACAGCCTACGCCCGCTGGCTCCCTGCAGACTATGAAGATGGGTTCTCTGTACCAAAAGGGTGGAATAAATCCAAGGTCTATAAGGACTTCCCGTTACCTTTGGTATGTGACCGTGGATTCTCCTGTGAACGGTGCTGATGGGTTTACATGAAGAGCTCACTTTCCCTTACTTCTGTTGTCTCTGTTTTTTAAGGTGCGCCAGGTGTCCCATGAAATCTTGCATACTCAGAATGAGAACATCTCTCTGGACAGTTCCTATACGCACATGCTGGTGGAATGGGGACAGTGGATCGATCATGACATGGATCTCACACCCCAGAGTGCCAGCACAGTCTCTTTTATGGATGGAGTAGATTGTTCTCAAGCTTGCATTAACCGGAATCCATGCTTCCCTATCCAGGTAACAAAACAAGGAAATAGGGGGGCAAAGAACAGAACCTTTTTTATAGCAAACATCTCTTTGCCCTGGTAGGTAACAGGGCACTGACCACTGTGCTTCCCTTGTGCCAGATCCCTGCCGGTGACTTGCGTCGGGGTGAGGGGGCGATGGAGTGCCTGCCCTTTATCCGCTCCTCTCCAGCTTGTGGCAGTGGTGAATCCAGCTTCCTGGTGGGACAGCTGCAGCCGCGAGAGCAACTGAACAGCCTCACCTCCTTTGTTGACGGCAGCATGATATATGGCAGCACAGCCTCGCTAGCCAGCAGGCTCCGCAATCTCTCCCAGGAGCTGGGCCTGCTAGCCGTCAACCAGGAGTTCTCTGATGGTGGCCTCCCTCTTTTGCCATTTGCTGAGAGGAAATTCCCAAACCCTTGTGCCTTGACACGGAACGCCTGTCTTCCCAATGTGTCTAACATCCCCTGCTTCATAGCGGGTAAGCAAGAAGCACCTGTGTTGTTGGGTGGTTGTTGTTTTTTACATATCCACCTACTGGCTACTCCTTACAGGATGGCCAGATGAAAAGAGAAACAGGCCTCCTGGCCCTTCCATGGTTGTGGAGAAGAGGGGGATTTGGGCAGGTCCAGTTTTTTCTCAGCCCTACTACTTGACAAGCTGCACCTGCCAAAATGACCTCTTCAACACAATTATGAAAAGTGCAGGCCTCCTCTGTTTAGCCTGGGAAAGAGAAGGCTTAGAGGGGACGATTGCAGTATTTGAAGGGATGTAGAACATGGAGCAGATCTATTCTCTCTTGCTCTGGATTGCAAGACTAGATCTAATGAGTGGAAATTACAAGGGAGTCGTTATCGGCTAAATAGCAGGAGAAACTTCCTAACTAAGAGTGGTTGAACAGTGGAACAGACTGCCTCGGGAGGTGGTGGATGCTCCTTCGCTGGACATTTTCAAGCAGAGGCTGGACGACCATCTCTCGGGTATGTTGTAGGGCTATCTTTCGGCTGTGCTCCTGCAGAGTGCAGGGGGTTGGGCTAGATGACCTGCAAGGTCCCTTCCAACTCTAACATTCTATGATTCTGCTTTGCATCTGCATCCTAGGCTGTGCGAGATATCACTGTTAGTGCCAAGCAGTGGTGACTGTTGCGTGTAAAATGGTCATAGGGAGTTTGTTTTATTGATGCTGTAATAAGTACAACAGCGCCAACTACTGGCCAGAACTGTCTCTTTCCCCAGGATGGATTCCGCTTTGCCCACAATGGAGCCCTATTGGAGGATCTTCAGAAGTGGATGTTAGGAAAAATGAGGAGGCCGAGAAACATCCCTTCGGTCCTGCTTAAAGCTGCCAGTGGGCATGCAGTGTTCCCCTCCCCCCATTTGCTGTATACATGAAAACAAAACCTCTTTGTTTCCAGGAGATTCACGGTCCAATGAGCATTTAGGAATACAAGTCCTACACACGGTGTTTCTGCGGGAGAGCAACAGAATCGCTGCCACTCTCCACCAGCTCAACCCCCAGTGGAGCGGGGAGATTCTGTATCAGGAGACGAGAAAAATCATTGGCGCATACCTCCAGGTCAGAGCATCAAGCATATTATGGCCTCTTTACAACACTAGTGGGCTTTCACAGAGGAGGGCCCTCCTTCACATGATGCTAAAGGACTGAGCCCCAGTGTGGTCCCTGAGAGAGCCACGGTGTCCACCAGCGCGCTTCCACATGCCACTTTGTGGTGGTGCCTGCTTCCGCTCTGAAATTTTCAAAAGTGCTCACAGGCTCCACAAGGTTGCGGACCCTGCTGCTGAGGGTATGTCAGTAACGTAAGCAGACTTGCCAACAGGCCTGGAGGAAAATGTCCTGTCCCTTTAATAGAGGCTTTATATGTGGAAGTGGACCACTGGACCTTTTCATGGTTTGGAATTAAACAACAGTGGCCAATAAATAACGTCCCAGTTAGAAACTAAAGCAACAGGACTTTTCTTTTCTCTACGCACAAAATAACAGCAATTGGCTTGGCTCCCCACCAGCGTTCCCTCTAAGCTGAGTTAGTGTGAGCTAGCTCACAGTTTTTTAGCCTCCGGCTCACACATTTTTGTCTTCGCTCAGGAAGGAGGGCTCCAGAGCAAACTAATTGATGCAGCAGCCAAATTGTTCGCTCACACCTTTAATGCCAGTAGCTCACAAAGTAGGATTTTTGCTCACAAGACTCCACAGCTTAGAGGGAACATTGCTCCCCACAGCCATCTCTACTCATTCAATAAATCCTAACATTTGTTATTTATTAATTACAAGGGTATTCTGCCTTTCCATTCATATATTCTAGGAGGACAATAAAAATCAGAATTGTATCGGTACCCGATAGCAACTGGTGTATTGGTCCATCTCTCAGCTGCTGGCACGTCCTGATATCAAGTGGCTGGAGCTAGGACTTCCGGTCTCCGGGCCCCGGGATTCTCCAGGAATTACAACTGACCTCCAGACTACAGAGATCAGTTTCCCTGCAGGTCATGGTTGCTTTGGAGAGTAGGTTCTATGCAGGGGTCATTTCGTGGAAAAAGAGATGCAGGAGCTCATTACCATATCCTATTTGCATATGCCACGCCCCCTGACATCACCGGAAGTGTGTCAAGAGGCAACACCCACCACTCAGGCTCCACTGGACTGTTTTGGATTGCTAGCTATTGGGGGGGGG